AATGAGTCCAACTATAAAAATTATATAAAAATTTTATTTTCGATCCTTAACGAACCTTATCGAGCCGAGTCGAGCTCGAGTCGAGTCGAGCTAGGCTTGTTTAATTTAACAGCACTAGTCACATATATATTATAGTAATTGATTCTTTAAAGATATAAGTAAAGTATTATAAATTATGTATATGTATATACTATTAAAATTATATATAACATAATTGTATCACGTTTTAAAAAAATTATCATCATTAGAACTAAATAGTATAAAATATTTAACTACATCTGATTATTGATTGCATAAAAAATAATGAATAAGTAATCTTTATAATCTTGAGGGATTATGAGCAATTAATTAGCTTGAACAAAAATTTAAATTAGTATTATAGCAATTGGTTATGCGATTTTAAAGGATGGCCATATCATTAAAACCAATTAAATTATTTTTTTATAAAAAATAATTGCTTAATGAGGTGTAAAAGAAAAAAAAAAAAGCATTAACTTTATAATGAATAACATGAAAAAAAAAATATGTTTTATACTTATATAACATCCATATGCCAATTATTAGTGTAAAATATAATTAGTTCATTTTAATTAGTAACTATTACACGAGATAATATTTTTTATAAGAGATATGATTATTAATTAATTAATATCAAATGTAACAATTTATTACTATAAATAATAAAAAAAAAAAAAGAGAAAAAAATTAATAAAAAAAATTGTCATAAATTCTTTGCCAACAATTGTATAGATGTGTTTCAATATTCACTAATAATTATGTTCCTCCTGTCACTTTACAATATACTGAAGCCAAAATCCAGGGAAATATAAGTTGTATTTATTAATTATGAAAACAATGCACTTAGACACAAAAGTAGAAAGCAAACAACATTTTGTTTTTTTAATTTCAAAACAATAAGAAAGCATAAATCGCAAATTCTTGTGCAAAGCAGCTTTATTGTTAGGCGAAATAGTAATATTTTTTCAATTCTCTGTATATAATTCTCGAATGCCCTAAGCCTACGTGGCTGATTCTGGTGCTTCGTAATCCTACTCGACGAAGAATCATGTTTTGTAATTAGGTTTGGACAAATAATATTTATATATTAATAATTAATAATCTAGGTTCGGACATTCCATAAATATTATTTAGCTAACTTAGGTATTTTAATATCACTTATACTAATATAACCCTTTAATTCTTTATAATTTTACATAGTGAAGTATTAAGTGACTTTATATCCCTGACTTTTGATTTGTTTCCTTCAATTAGCTATTGAACTGTAAATATATTTTAAAAGTTAATAACTTGTTTATTTGTTATCGGTTTTACATATATAATATATCAAATTAATCATCTTTTGATGATTTTCGATTTGACATCCATATTGTATATATGAAATAAATAAATTATATTTATCTTTATAATAATAAAAAATAATACTATTTATTAAAATTCATTAAAAAAATAAAATTATTTCTCAATTGATATATTTATGTTTAATGTAGTTATATGTTGTAAGTTAATAAAATTAATATAATATAACACAAGTATGTCGCACAAGTAAAAAGTGTCATACTTAATATATAATAATATATATTTTTATAAAATATATTTAAATTTTCAACTACTTTTTCTTATTAATTTTAAATTTTAAGAAGAAAACTAGCAAGCACCCGTATAATACACGGACGTTGTACTAGTAAATATATATACTCATGTTGTGAAACGAAATACTTTATTTTTGTAATTTATTTATATAAGTTAAGTCTTATGCTAGGTTGTCTAATGGTTACACAGTCATACTATTCTAATAAATATAAATACTTAGACGTTGTATTTTAAAATATAATATCTTTTCATTATATAAATATATACTTTTTATTACAAAATATGATTGTCTATTTAATTATTAGACACTTCTATATATTTTTTATGAAAAGAAAATAATTTCCAGATTATTAGACAACCTACCACTATACTTTTCAACATTTAAAATAAAATCATATCATATACATGTAATAACCAAAATTATGTGAAAATAATAGTTGGAGAAACTTTATCTGACACTATTGTAACAGAATAACAGCACAAAGAGCTTGAAACAGTAAAAGCAGGCTCATGAGCTCTTTTTTTTTTTTTTTTCATTTTGCTTCATAATAATTTAGAAACGTCTAACAGTCGGGCCGGTTGACGACTCGGCCCGACCCGCCAGGTCAGTGGGCCTCAAACACTGGGCCCAGAACCTGCTTGGTTATATTTAAAGGCCGGTTCAAATGAACCGGCCACCGCCAGTTTTTTTAATAAAATAATAAATAAATAAAAACAATCACGACCCGCCTTTTGACTCAAAACCGACAGGTCAAACCATAAAAACCGAGACCCAAAACTGGCCCAGTTTTATCACGAGTCTGGTTCCAAGACCCGTAATTCCGGGCCGATTCCTGGCCGGGTCGGCCCTTGGGCACATCTGAACTTCATATTGATAATGGTCTCTAATAAGATTTGCAGTGGATTTCAGTTGGCAAAAGTGAAAAAATTGCATGGCATTTTTTAGGCAAATTGAATTAAGATCAATCATTGGATTTTGATTCCTTGATCAAAATTTATCTTTCTCAAAACCCAATAAATTTAGAGGAATATAATAATATGATCTTTTTGTTTATATAAATATTGAAAAAGTAAAATATTCATGCATAATAATTGATGGATATTTCTAGGTAATTGTAGTCTTGCAGAGTATTTTGGCCTTGTCATAATTATATGTTTTTCTTTTCTTTTTCATTTACTAATATTTGGAAAAAAATAATAAAAAAAAGTGATACTATCCTTCTCTATGTATTAATTCAAAACGTGTTGAGTCTAGGTGGCAGATTCTCACGCTTGGATGCTGACATGGCGAAAATCTATACTTCGTGATGTTGTTTTTATATTATTTTTGCTCTGGAATTAGATTTGGTATTAGACATAAATAACTATATGTGTACATCGGTATTAATACTAGTTTCATTATTATTGCAGGAGTCCTTTTTGTCAAATCCATTGTTGGGGAATAATGTGATTAGAAAAATAAAATAAAATAAAATAAAAGAAGAGGGAATATTCTAAATACAAACAATAAATTCCAACAGACCATAAATGTTATTTGTCTGCAATGTACATGTACCCTAGCAAGTCTTACTTACAATACCAAAAATCGATACCAATATGTTCGATTTTTTATCGTTGGATCAATATATATTCATATCGATGTGTGTAGTTCAAGAGTAAAAAATCGAGTAACGGCATCGCTTTATGTAGATAGTATATCCATCTATTGAAGAAAATAATAATAATTTTGAAATCACTTAATTGGTTTAGTTAGCTTAAATTAAATGAATCTTTTATCTTTCACAAATAAAATTATTCTGTTTAAAAAATTTAAAAAAAAAAAATAGTAAATAAAAGATGATTTTGGAAGGTAATTATGGATCACTATCCTATATTATCATCACTTTATCTTTTCTAAAAAGCACTTTTTGCTCACAAAAACTACTTGCTTGTCCTAAAATCCAACCACAGATTCTCTGATTCCTTTTATAGGTGTATAGGACAAAAAGAAACAGCCAATCAATACATACCCCTCTCAAAGAAAAAAGTTTTCAAAAATAATAATTGAAATTGTAAGGGAAAAAAAAAAGGAATAAAAATATTTTGGTCACATTTAAAATATAAATTCCACCAAAATCATCATCATTAAGATGACAATTTGTATGATATAAAGAAAACACACTATTATTATGTGGAAATTACAAATCATCCCTATTAACATTTGATTTTACATTTGCCCTCTTTTTAATAAAAGATTTTCCATACTCCAAACTCATCTAGTGTTTATTAAAGTATTAAAATTATATATTTTTTAGGTGAAAACAAGGGTATTATTTAAATATTTCCTGCACTTATATGATTTTCTTTTGTACTTATATGCAAGTGCAAAATTTTATGCAGACAATGAGTGACTATTAAGTTATTGATTAATCAATATATTGACACGTGTCTTGGAAATATATATTTTAAAACAAATATCAATATATTATTTACGAAAATGTTCTCCACAAATCGCTCTCATCCGATCTCTTCATAGCAAAAGTTCATCACATAATTTCATACATTTTAATGTCATTTTTCCATCAAAAGCTCATCAAGGTTTTCTAAAAAATTGTCACCCACTATCCATCATGAATGGAAATAATGCACAACAAAGAAAAGTGATTAAAAAAATCAAACAACACTTTTTTCTTTTCTTTTTCTCTTCTTTTGAGACTTTTCCAAATGGAAGTGTTTTTTCTTCTTCTTCTTCTCATATCTTTGCAGCATAATAGATTCTCCACACCTCTTTCAAGTCAAAGAACAAGATAAAGAAAAGAAAGAGACTTGAAACTTTATCATTAAGACTCTATTTGGCAAGCATATAAAGTAGTTTATAGCTTATTTGGTTAGCTTATAAATTTTCTGCATTCAAATAAGTTTGATTTAATAAAACAAACTTTTTTAAAAAGCTCAAAATCATCACATAAGCTTTCTTGGGTAATTTTCTAAATAAACTAATTGAAATTTTTATTTCAGCCAACTTATCAGCTAGTTTTTTAGCCGCAAGTCATAATCTATCAGCTATAAGCTCGAAATTCACTTAAAAGTTATAAGTTAACTTATCAACTAGATTTTTACCAAACATAGCATAAAAAACTTAGTATGTATTGGTAAATGAGAGAAAATAAGGGGAAAAAAAGAAATAAAGAATAAAAAGAGGGCCACAAAGCATATATTCCCTTCAAGACATAACCCCACTTATGTTTCCATATAAAGAGTGATATCATGAGACAGTCTTCCCAACTCCAAACTACAAAGTGGAATCACCAAATTCTCAAGTAACCATTGCAAGAAAGCAAAACAATCTTTCAAATGATCAAAGCCCTTAACAATAACACCACAATAACATTCTTCTCATACAAACATCAATGGCTTTTTATGATGTCAATAGTAAAGAACTGAAACTGGTTTTGTCAGGTGATGCAAAACCCAGGCTCAAATGGACTCAAGAACTTCACCACAAATTCGTAAAAGCCGTCGATCAACTCGGAGGACCGGAGAGTTGAGTTCCATTTTTTCTTTTAAGTAAACCAATTTTCATGACTATTGAATCATCTTACAATTTTTATGTATTTTTTTTGTAACAGAGGCAACACCAAAGTCATTGAAGAAGGTAATGGGCATTAATGGGCTCACTTTGTATCATCTCAAGAGCCATTTACAAGTTAGTTTCTTTTTAACTTTTTTTTTTTCTTCTTCATATTACAATAGTGAAATTTTCTAGTTTTTGAAGATTCTTGAAAATGTTTTGCAGAAATATAGAACAGGAAAGAGTCAACAAATGCAAACACACCACCAAACTGAGGAAAAAAGTACAAGAAAATGATTCAAGAATGGTTTTTGAAGTGACCTATTATATTAATGTACTTATTTGTTTGTTTGTTTGTTCAGACGACGGCGAAAAACAGAGGAATCGCTCGACTGGCGAGAGTTGTGATGGATCAAAAGAGCACGTTAACGAGTAATATAATTCGGTTCATGCAGTAAATTCAATCTTACCGATGAAAATGCGAAAAAGAATCGATTTTTAACTGATTTTTTACCTGCACATTTTGATCAGAAACTTGCAGATCACTCGAGCTCTACAAATCCAAATGGAGGTACAGAGGAAACTTCATGAACAAATCGAGGTAAGACAAAAAGAGTAAATTATGAAAACACCCAACACAGTTCTTGCTCGATTGAGGCCGAGCATTTGCTGCAGGTGCAAAAGCATTTGCAGCTAAGGATTGAAGCTCAAGGAAAGTACCTACAATCAGTCTTACTAAAGGCACAAGAAACCCTCACACAATACAGTTCTTGCTCGATTGAGGCCGAGCAAGCAAAAGCCCGACTTTCCCGATTAAGTTCGATGGTCGACTCCGAATGCACAAGCGGGTCTTTTTCTGTACTAACACAGAGTGAAGAAGAAGAATACTCAATATCCGAATATGAAAAGGAAAAATGCAATCTTTTACGACAGAATGGATCTTTACTCGAAAGTTCGCTGCATCAGAGTTCGAATTATGGTGAAAGGATGAAATCATTGGAGAATCTTGATTTGAGCCTTTAGTACTGAAAAGAGGAATGTATTTATTTTGATAGTAAGAAAGGATGTGAATGATTAAGTTATGAATTTTTGTAGAGAAGTTTGTACTCTTTAGTAATTAATGAATGGTTTTATTTCAAAGAATGGATTTTGATTAGCAGGTTATGCCATGGTGATCTGATATAAAAGCTCAATATTTCAACAATCCAAAGTTTGCCTGAAAAGAATAATTTTCTACATGAAATTTATAATCTTTAATGTGAATACTCTGAATGTAGAAGGAGAATGCATCAAGTTAAAAGAATTGGTCATGTAAGACCAGATATATACATTTTCAACAAAACACATATTTTTAAATTTAAATATCATAAAATAAAAGAAAAACAATATAAACCAAACAATAATATTGCTACATCATTTGTTGTCGATTTGAGCACCTACACCCCGAGCGGCTTTCGTCCTTGAGCTCCGGTAACATGCAATACGCCAGGAGGGAGTGATGAAGATGTGGTCATCGACCCATCCGAGCCCGAGGATGAGGCGGCCGGTGACCAAAGGAATAGGCGCGCAAATAGGCTGGACGGACCGCGGGCTCGTAGAAAAAGGCCGCAGGTGCGCGTACAATCGCGCACACGGGAAGATCGCGCGACTCATAGGTCGGCGATACATGTTGGGTGGGTGATGAGGCGCGCGAGGCAGCAACACGCAAGGAGCGACCAAGCGATGGGGGGATCACGCAAAGGCGCGCAGGAGACCAACGCCGAGTGCACGACGACGGGGTCGGGAGATGCGATCGATTGGTGCAAGGTGTGCGCGAGGGAAAGATGTGCGCAACGCCTGGAGGCTAAGGCATCGACCGCGCACGGGCGAGTCGAGCACATGAAGGGCGCAAGCGGCGAGTACGCGGCAATGGGATCGGGCGGTGCGCGAAGGGTGGATGTTGGGTGGACAGCGCGCACAACGGACGACCGATGACGGGCTAAGGCTGGCGTGCATGGCGCGAAGGGCGGTGACGCGCGCGGGGCGTCTAGCGTTCACAGTAACGATGCTGGGGAATGGGCGTGTTGGCCGCACGCGAGGCGGGGGAGCATGTGTGGGAGAAGGCACACGGGCGCGCGGCGCGAGCAATGGGCGACGCGTGGGACACGTGGGAGACGGGCGCACACGATACCTCATGCGACGAGGTGTAGCGCGCGATGGCGCGCCGCCTAGGGTTTGGGCGCAGACGAAGTGCAGCGCAAGCAAGGGATCAAGGAAGCAAGATTTACTTAGCTTAATTAGACTTCTGGTTATGGTATGATTTAGAAATAAAAACCTAGCCTAACATAATCTATATACATATAAAAAGGTTTGGCATTTACCTGAAATAGTAACTAAATTCCCGCCTAAATAATTTGTTTTTACTTATATTAGTAACTTTTTTAAATATTTTTTGAAAATGGCGGTAAATAATTTAAAATTCAAATTAAATAAATCAATTTAATTAAGGTACATAATCATTCTGCTAAATATGACACAGTTACCATTGAAATGAGCAAATATTTTAGGTAACTAATTATTTTATTAAGATCTTTATATAAATGTTACATATAAAAGATCTCATATTCCCTCTTTCACCTCACCATCCGTCAAAATTTTCTTCGCCATTGTCGCCGCTCCTCCAAATTCCGAACCCTTCGCATCAAACCCGCTACTGACTCGACACATCCTTGAAATCGGCATATCCTCTTCCGCCGACGCCAATCACAACTCCCGGCTCAAATCAATTACGTATTCCAGCGGCTTCAAACTTTTACTCCCCATGCCTGGAAGAATTGATGTCGGGTCCCGAGCGGGAGGATAGAGATTCAGAGAAAAAGAAGAGGATTTGCGATTTCGAAAATGAAGAAGGCGGTGGATACATAAGCTGAAGAAAAGACAAACGAAATAAAAAAAAAAAAAATGTTGTAAATAACAAGGAAAAAAAAAAAGTAGCGTACAAAAGAATGAAGCCTGAAGGTGACATGAGGAAGAGCTTGATCAAATGGGACCATAGTCAGAAAAAAATTAGCAGTAGTTTTTTTCTTGCTGTGATGCATATCTTTTTTTATTTAGTGACATGAGGAAGAGCTTGATCAAATGGGACCATAGTCAAAAAAATTAGCAGTAGTTTTTTTCTTGCTGTGATGCATATCTTTTTTTATTTTTATTTTTTACTTTGAGGAGGTGAGTTTTTGTTTTTGTTTTTTTTTTTAATTTTATTTAATTTTATTTATATATATATTTTATGTGTGTTCTTTTGTGAGAGATTATAGAACTGCGTGACTATAGCAAAGGACTTAGGAATTTGTCACCAAGTTCGTGTATAGTGGAAAACCATATTTTTTTTAATTATGAGTTGTATTTATAAAATGCTTACATATGGCAAATCAATCTTTGTCACTTATTTTACTTTTGTTTTATTTCTTTAGTTTTTTGGTTTTACAACTCAATTATTTTTGCACTTTATAGCAATTTACATCATTGTTATTATTAACAGATAATTAAAAAAAAATGAAAAAATGTTGGGGACACACGAATAAAATTTAGGGTTATTCTTGGTAAATTGAATTGTAGTAAGTTAGTTGATAGCTTTAGTGGATTTCAACTTTATAGTCATATATCATATAGTTGAAAGTTGAGACATTAGCTGATATAATATGTCGTTGATAAATCAATTATAAATTAATAATTTCATTGAACTTTTTTGAGAAACTAGAAGTTTATGAGATAAGTCTTAAAAAAAAATATTTGGTCACATCGAGGTTATCTTACTAGCGCATAACCCGTGTGATGCACGGAGAAACAATATTAATTATAATATTAAATGGAATATACGTTAACACATAACACGTACAAATCGAACACAAATTTGAGGTTGAATACAAGAATTACTTGAAAATCCTATTTCAAGATGAGGATTTCTGACAGATCCTCCCAATTATTTCAAAGGAGAGTTGTCAGGATATTTGAATGCTGCAATTAATTTATCCGAATTACGGTCTGATTGTACTGTGTTGAGACTTACCGAAAATATGGGCTTTCAGAGCATTGGTGATTCAGATGAATGAAATGAGCTACCAAATTTTTCTAATTAGATAGCGAGCATGGAAGATGGAACCAATATTGGGAGATCCAATGATGGATGTGACTTGACAGACATATCTGATAATATATTGTCGAAGCCTACTGATGATTTTATCACTGCAATTGTTGAGAACACTCATCCAATATTTAAAGATACAAGCGACGATCTTGGTTATTTGAAGGATAGAGCTATAATAGCTCAAACGTTAGAGGTGGTCGAGTCTACGAATGAGTACATGGCGTCTTTGAAACGTGATTTATGGTCAAACATACTTGAGCTCTTATAGTACGTACAAATTTGATTCCAATAATGATATTTTAGTCCGATCTCCACACCCCTGAGTTTTTTAATATTATCAGATGTTTTGGAGTGCCGAACCATGAGTTGAATCTGAAGATAGGAATCACACTCATGTTGCAAAACATCGACCATTCTATGATGTTGTGCAATGGTACGAGATTGATTATCACAAAGATCTTCACTCATATACTTGAATATATGGTATTTGCATGATCCAATGCATGAGAGAGGTGTTGATCCCTCGGATGACACATTCATACGTTAGAGCACCTTTCAAATTTCTGAAGAGGCAATTTCTCCTAATGGCTTTTATGCCACGACGATCAACAAGAGCAAGAGTAAGTCTTTATCACATCTTCACATGTTTTTTAAGAAGTCAGTGTTCAGTCACGACCAGTTTTATGTAGTTGTTTCCTGTGTCACCAACCGAAAGAGCTTGAAAATATTAGCTTGCGGGAGAACAAGGCAAAAAATATTGTCTACAATAAGGTTTTTAATAATATAATATCATTTTTTATTCTATTTATTTAATTTTTTTTCACAAATATAGTAATAAGGTTGGGTAAATAGCCTTAGAACTGTCCACCCCGTGCATCGCACGGGATTCGTACTAGTAAATAATAAGAGAAAGAGAATAGAATTATCCTCTTTCGTGTGCGGGTGCTGTCTATCTCCGCTTTCGTCGGATTCTCCGTATCTTCCCGCGTTATGTGTTCTCTCTGCAAGTAATTCACTCTCTGGTATATGGCGGCTACGTGTATCTCTGTTATGTAAATGATAGTGCCCTCATAACTAAAAGTCTTATAATCTAAAAGCCCTTTTCTCAAATAAATCATTAGCCCATTAATTGGACCCTTCCCACATAATGTCTTGGTCTGGCAAATAAATCCTCCTAGGGCTTTCTCCTTTGGCTGCGTGAGTGCCTCAATTCCAATTGCGTGATTAATTTTTAGTTATCAATCTTGGGCCCAATGAGGCCTATATTGGGCCGAGTATAGGGTTCGGTAGCAGAATATGAAGCACCCCCGCACTACACCACAGGAGGTTGTCGAGCTCACGTCTATGCCTTCAACGTCTCGTCTTCTATAAAAATACTCCAATATCCTAAAAATAAAACATAAATATATCAAAGCACCAAAATCCATCTGAAGAAATAAATAAGTCGAAAAATATATATGTGCGATAAAATTAAGCATATTAAAATACGCTAATAAATATGTAGAGTACACACTTTTTCCGACCAATCAATGTGCCTATTAGTTATTTACTTATTTGGTAATTCTTAGATTATAGGATATCTAGGTACCTTAGGACTTTATTTTATTTCCAAGCATTTTGAATTCTTATTAGAATATGACTAGATCAAGTTTCTCTTATAAATACCCATGTACTCATTCAATTTCATATGTCAAGAAGTTAATAGAAAATCGTTCGCAAGAGCAAAATCGTGTGTTTGAGATTCGTAAGAGTTTTATCATACAAACCGAGATTAGTAAGGCTAAGACTCGAGCTATCTCAATTATCGTGAGAAGATAAGGCTAATAAACGAGTCGTCCATACCTATCGTCAAGAAGAAGGCCGTGGCAACGCACATTTCGAGGCAAACGAGTTGAGCGGATACACGATTTCATCAGGGAGGCCTGGCAGAAAAACCTCCAACGCTCAAGTAAAACTATAACTAGGGGTAGAATGCAAGTAAAACAATAACTCACTCCATAATTGTATATAAATACTATGCAAGTAAAGGCGTAGAATGCGAGTGCTAATAAAGAACTTCTAACCCTTATATAGGGGAAGATATCTTGGTTCTCATCAAGAGAGTCCTAGTTAGAAGAGATCCAACCAGATCATACTTTTTAACTTACCACGTCTCTAACTACGCAAGAGATGAGCAAGCGATTCTTTTCTTCTTAGTAGGATTTTGTCCCCCTTACTGTAGCTATAGGTTTAGGTCGTAACTCTAACCTCTTGACCTGTCTGTTGTGGTCTTACCCGAGTCGAACCTGACCCTGTGTCGAGATCTATCCTGACCTCATCCTCAGGTCTAACCCGACATCATCCTGTGGTCTAATCTATCTTCGGACCAAAGGGTCTCGATTCCTTGGTTATATTGTCGGGCTCTTGGAGGTTGCAACCCCCTAAGTTGTATATCTTCAGGTCAGTCAGTACCCTAAGCCCATATACGAGCTACTTGATTGAGTATCTCACTTTTGTACGTACGAGACCGCTCCTAGACCAGTCTAGTCGAGCTTTCTGCTTAAGTCGGTCTACCGAGCTATTATGTGCTACATAAAGTATTTCTAAATATAAATGTCATATTCTTAAAAATAACATATAAAAAAATGTAATATTTAAAAACATTATAAGGCCACCTCCAATGCTGCCCCCACAATCTTTATTTCACTGTTGTGCAACAATTTTCTCTTTGTGGTGCGTTGTAACTTTGCCATGTGAACAGAACATGCCTTTATTTCGCTGTTGTGTCCTCAGTACTTGGGCCACACGGCCTAATTCTAATAGATTCATCGTTTGAAGGTGGTGTTTTGCAGACGAAGGAGGTGCCAATTCCCTTAATAGTTATCGGCGGGTTTTAGGCTGCTATAACAGAGGAGTGCGACCGACCTCTCGGTGTTTTCGCAGCGATGGACGGACCTCTGGCATTTTCTCGGGGTGGGTCGCGATTTCGATTCTCCTTTGGAGATCGGGGTGAAGGGTTCTGCCATTCTCCACCGTGTCCCTCCCGTTTCTGGTGTTGGGCGGAGGCGACGGTCGACGAGTTTTGAGTCAGGGTCGGGGTTTCTGCAGTCTAGGCCTAAGTCTTCGGTGTAGGGTTGGGTGGTTTGTGGTGTGGGTCTATAAGCGCGGGTTTCGAGTTACTTGAATGGATGTGGGTCGAGGTGAGGAGTGGTGTCCGACCCAATTAGGCACCATTCTACAGATTCTTGTTCCGAGTCCTATAATAGATAATAATGCTGACTTAGTCTATGGTTGTTGTATTCTATTCCTATAAATCAGTACTTATCTAGTCCTTAGAATATCCTCATTTGGTGGAACAACCTCTTACTTGTATCTATATAATGTAATCTTCTATCAGTTAATCAATTAACTCAGTTTCCATCAATACTTCTATATGGTATCAGAGCATTTGCTTAACAGCAACTGATCCAACACAGTTCTTTTCACGAGAATTTTTTTCCTCATCATGTCTACTGGCTCAACCACAAACCCTCACCACAACGCAGTCCCCTCCCATGATGCGTCCACAGTCATTGCCCTCCACACACACAATTGTGTGAAGCTTACAAACATCAACTACCCTGCATGGCGTGTCCAAATTAACGCCTTACTTGTTGGTTATGATCTCATCGGCTTTGTTAATGGCACCAAGCCGTGTCTGGCTACGACTGCTGATACGTACACTACCTGGTGCCGTCAAGATCAGCTAATCCTTCACGCAATAATATCTTTTGTGGATCCGTAAGTCATCACTCTCCTGAGTAATGTCAAAACCTCGAAACAGACCTAGGATACACTTCAGAAATTATTTGTTGGTAAATCACGAGCCAGAATCATGCACCTCAAGGAGCGTCTCTCTCGGTTCTCCAAAGGGTCCAAAACCATGATGCAGTATCTCCATGATATAAAATCCATGGCAGATGAGCTCGCATTGATTAATGCTCCCCTTGATGACGTTGATTTGGTCATCCATGTATTGAATGGACTGGGTTCTGATTATAGGGAAATTGCAGCGGCTGTAAGAGCTCGCGAACACCCCCTTGGCTTCGAGGAGCTCCATGATCTCCTCAATGACTTTGATTCCTACCTTCAACGTGACGTTCCGTCATCTGAACCGTCGTCGGTAATCACGGCACATCCAACGCAGAAGCAGCGTTCGTTTCCAGGAAAGCAGCGTGGTCATCCCACGTCAAATGATGGCAACTACGGCAACTCCAAACGTCCCGTATGCCAGTACTGTGAGAAGCCGGGTCATACGGCTAAAAACTGCTTCAAAATTAACCCACCAAGACGTGGTGGTCAAGGCTCTGCCCGTCAGGCTCATATGGCATCTCGCTCCGTTCCCTCGGATTGGATTGTAGACTCTGGTGCTACACATCATATAACAAATGATCTTGGTAGTTTACAACTTACTACCCCATATTATGGTGACGAACATGTTGTTGTGGGTGACGGCTCCTCCCTTCCTATAACTCACACTGGTAATATCTCTCTGTGCACTTTGTCTAGACCTTTGGTTCTTCCCAATGTTCTTCATGTCCCTTCCATTTCAAAAAACCTTGTTTCTGTCTCTTCCTTATGTCAAACTAACCCAGTGTCTGTTGAATTCTTTTCTGATCATTTTGTGGTGAAGGACTTGAAGACAAGGGTGCCTCTGCTCAAAGGTCGTCATAAACAAGTTCTATATCAACTTGTTGTGCCAGAATCTTTTCCTTGTGCGTTGCAAACCAGCGTTACCTCTCCACCTCCTTGGCATCATATTTTTGGTCACCCCTCATCTCATATTCTTCAGCACTTGTCAAGCTCTTATCAAATAAAACCAGGCACTGCTTCTCCATGTCTGTCATGTAGTGGTGCTAAGAGCCACAAACTTCCCTTTCAGTCCTCAAATGTTGTCAGTACCAAACCACTGCAACTGGTCTACACGGATGTGTGGGGCCCAACGCCAGTTAAATCTGTTGATGGCTTCCTATATTATTTAATTTTTGTGGATCATTATTCAAAGTATGTTTGGATATTTTTGTTGAAAAATAAATCAGATGTCTCTATTATCTTTCCTCAGTTTCAATCTGTTGTGGAAAATTATTTTGGTTCCAAAATAATAGTTGTACACTCTGATAATGGGGGTGAATTCCTTAAACTTCGACCTTATTTAACAGCTAATGGCATTTCTCATTTCACGACTCCTCCACACACACCGGAGGTAAATTCTGTTGCAGAAAGACGACATCGTCATATCGTTGAAACAGGTCGGGCGCTTCTTCATTATGCTAACCTCCCTTCATCTTACTGGTCTTTCGCTTTTACCACTGCAGTATATCTGATCAATCGTCTACCCACTCCGGTGCTCAAAATGCGTTCTCCATATGCTACGCTTCATGGCACGGGTCATAATTTCCGTCATCTCCACTCCTTTGGATGCCTATGCTTTCCATGGCTGCGCCCGTACACGTCAAATAAACTTCAGCCACGTTCCAAACCTTGCATCTTTGTAGGTTACTCTTCATCTCAGTATGCGTATTTGTGCCTTGATCCTCAATCTCATCGTATTTACACATCTCGTCATGTCACGTTTTTTTACAATCATTTTCCATTCCGCACACCGTCTCCCTCAAACAAGTTCTCTATACAAGAATCTGACTCATCACATCTTCCACTCCATCATGTTCTTCCTGTACCTGCACCCATACCTTCTCAGAGCAGCGCCCCATCTCCTCCGACCGTTCCAGTCATAGCACCCTTGGATTCAGTCTCTTCATCAGGTATGTCAACTCCCTCCAACTCTGAGTCCATTTCTTCTACTATTCCAACTCCTAACAATGCCTTACAGCGCCACCACCCTATGGTGACTAGATCTCAAAACAATATCTTCAAGCCCAAACGAGCATTCATGGTCACGCAACACCCATTGCCAGAGAACTTGGAACCTTCCAGTGTGCGAGAGGCTCAGAAATATCCACACTGGCGTCACGCATTATCTGAGGAGTATGATGCACTTGTTCGCAACGATACTTGGTCTCTTGTACCGAAACCTAATGGGAAAAACATTGTGGGTTGCAAGTGGTTATTCCGCATTAAGAGAAATCCCGATGGTTCCGTAGCTCGTTACAAGGCTCGCCTTGTAGCTAAAGGGTTCACACAATGCCCTGGTGTTGATTTCAAGGATACCTTTGCACCAGTTGTTCGCCCTCAAACTATCAAGATTGTACTCTCTGTGGCTCTAAGCCGACACTGGCAGATGCATCAGCTAGATGTGAACAATGCGTTCTTACAGGGATCACTAATGGAGGAGGTTTGCATGGCACAACCCCCGGGTTTCAAGGACACTCAACACCCCAATCATGTGTGTCGGTTGCATAAGGTTATTTATGGATTACGTCAAGCTCCGCGAGCATGGCATAATGCCCTCAAAGCTTATATCTTGTCTTGCGGATTCACAATGAGCAAGAGTGATCCATCACTGTTCATCTATATCAAAGGCACGGTACGCGCATATTTTCTTGTGTATGTAGATGATTTGCTCCTCACTGGCAGTGACCATCGATTTCTCTCTACATTCATCATTGCACTGTCTAGGAGATTTTCACTGAAAAATATGGGCTTCCCACATTACTTTCTTGGCGTTGAGCTCATACCAACCAGTGGGGGTCTTTTTTTGTCTCAGCATAAGTATATCCGGGAAGTCCTCGAACGTTTTGATATGACAGGAGCTAAACCAGCCCCGAGTCCGTTGTCTTCTACAGCAATCCTTCGCTTGAGTGATGGCAGTCCAGCTACTGATGCAACCTCTTCTCATCGAATAATCGATCGGAGCCTTGCAGTACTTGAACCTCAGCAGACCTGACCTCTCCCTCGCAATAAATAAATTGGCTCAATACATGCACAAGCCCACGACCTTACACTTTCAGCATTTAAAGAGGGTCTTAAGGTATCTGAAGTTCACGATTAATCATGGAGTTAAGCTTCGTTCCTCCCCCTCATTCGGCATTCTTGCGTACTCTGATACAGATTGGGGAGGTAATAGTGATGATCTTACTTCCACTTCAGCATATGTCATTTTTCTTGGAGGCAATCCAGTATCTTGGCTATCTCGCAAGCAATGTACTGTTGCTCGTTCATCCACTGAGGCTGAGTATCGCGCACTAGCCACCACTACTGCAGAGGTTATGTGGTTATCTAATCTGCTTCATGAATTGAAAGTGTCATCGCAGCTTTCACCTCGCCTGTTATGTGATAACCTTGGTGCTGTTCATCTCAGTTCTAACCCCGTCCTTCACTCTCGGATGAAACATATCTCCTGGACTGTCACTTTGTGCGCGAACTGGTTCAGGCAGGTCGCATTCGTGTCTCGCATGTATCTTCACGTGATCAGCTTGCAGATCTTCTCACCAAGCCTCTGCCAGCCACTCGATTTCAGGAATTGCGGGTCAAGATGAATGTTGCTGATGGCAACATCATCTGGAAGGGGCATAATAGATAATAATGCTGACTTAGTCTATGGTTGTTGTATTCTGTTCCTATAAATCAGTACTTATCTAGTCATTAGGATATCCTCATTTGGTGGAACAACCTCTTTCTTCTATCAGTTAATCAATTAACTCAGTTTCCATCAATACTTCTATATCCTAAGCCATGGCTCTGTCTATAAAGGTGGATGTTCATGCTTTGCTAATTAGTGTGGTTTATTGTATTAAGTATGATTGATATAGGCTACCATCAGATTAATTCTCTCTCCCTATTAGATTCAACTGCTTTCTTCGGCCGGGCAGATGTTGTTAACAACGGTGATATTCATTTGTTCCTGTGAATATTTATAAAATTTATTGTTTAAAAAAAAAAAAAAAAAGATAAAACCCAAATATTTCTTCTCAAGCTCAGTGAGATGGAGACTCAAAAACAAAAAAAGACACTATCTACAAATCCAAAACCTACCATCTAAACATCACAAACAAATCAAAACAAAATTTATTTCAAAAAAAAAAAAAAAAGCTCAATTTTTTCCTAATCTTGATTCCCTTACTGACCCAAAGAATCTTCTTGATTTTCACGATTCCTCAGACCACCAAAGCTGAAGCTCACCCAGATCTCTCTCCTCCCCCTCTCCCCGGAAGATTTCTCCTCCACGTCATCATCCTCGCCGCCGGCCGGCAGCTCCCGCCGGCACAGCGGGCAGCACCCGTTAACCCTCAGCCACTTTCCGATACACCCGCCGTGGAATCTGTGCCCGCACGGCAGTTCCGTCGCAAGATCGCCCTTTTCCCACTCCCCCAGGCAGACGGCGCACTGGTCCTCCTCGCCGTCGCCGTCTCCCTTCACGATCTCGACACGTGGCAGGTTTTCGATGGCCGATTTCGAGGCGGGCCTCGGCCCGCCTTTCGCGGCGGACAGGTTTTGAAACAGCGAGTTGGCGTTCATCTCGACGACGGCCATGGTCTGGGTTACGAGGTTGAGGAAGACGACCCGGTCTCGTGGGCCGGACGGGTCGGTTTGTTGTTGGGTCGCGCCGGCGGCGGTGAGGCCCAAGATGAAGGGGAGAAACAAGGGATCACTTTCGGAAGCCATTTTCTTGATTTGATGAGCTTTGGAAAAGCTGTGAATTTGATTTTTATCTTTATTTTTATTTTTGGGAATTTTTTGGGATTTATTGATTGATTGATGCGAGAAATTTGAGAAAATTGGGGTTTTTAAGGATATTTCTGTGGGCTTTAAGGAGGAATTTTGTAGAAGGATCTGGAAATTCTGTGTACTGAATAGGATTAGGTTTATTTTATTATTATTATTATTATTTTTTTTTGTTATTCTTATTTCTTTTTTAATAATAAATAATAATTGAATATTTTGAGCAGATTCTTGAAGGTTATCTGCTTATCTAAAAGGTTAGATATTTTATCAAGAACGATTGGATGAGATGGTTTGGGTCTCTTCCAGCTTAACCAGTGGTCTTGTGTTCGAGCCCTGGGAATGCTGGTCCTACCCGATTCGATTCTGGATTAGTCGGTTCACATGTAGATTCGAAAACCGAAAAGTCCCTGTACCAAAAAAAAAAAAAAAGGTTAGATATTTTGGAAGGGAGGTAAGGTTCGGTGCAGGAAGGTTTATTGTGGTTACAGTGGCCTTGCAGGCAACCTTTATGTGTTGAAGTTGCAAACTCGAATGCTTCGTAATTTTATGCGACAAAAGTACATGTTTTGTTATTAGCCTTGTAGATTTTAATTTACTTCTAATTAAAAAATAATTAGATTTGTATTATCCATAAATGTGTTGATTATTTATGGTCATATTATTATAATAATTAAATTGTAAATATATTTTAAAAATTAATAATTTTTTTTTAATTTTTTATCAGTTTTACATATACAATATATCACATTAATCATCTCATGAGTTTTCATTAACAACCATATTGTATGTATAAAAAAATAAAGTGTTTATCTTCATAACAATAATAAAATTATTTTATAGTATTAATTACAAAAATAAAATTATTTATCAATTAATATATTTATATTTCAATTAATTATATGATATAAGTTATAAAAATTACTATAATATAACACATGTAAATTATAACATATGTGGTAACACAAAACTCCTCGACCGACTGGAACTTGAGTAATCGCCTTCCTTCTCGCCGGTTGAACGTCGTGTACCTACAAAGAACTCTCACACCGGAGGGGTTTTCCGGTGAAGAGCCTCCGATGCTTAAGTCAGTGTGTATTCAATCAATTCTCAAGAGTAATAGAATGATCGTGTTGAAGAAGAAAGGCTCACCCCCTTTATATAGGGGTGAGATACCTGACCTAGGGCTGCCCGGATCTGATGAGCTGTCTGCCCTAACTGTCCGTCCGTACACACCAAACGCGTGTGTCGGAGGTAACCGTCGCCACTATCGCTTGCACCAATCCTCTTTGGACGCGTGTCCTCCTGCACATGGGGTAGGCTGTCAGAGGTGGTTATCGCCATCCACCGCTGCGTTCTCGACACGTGTCCCCCAGCACATGGGGTAAATATTCCCCTGGAATTCTGTCAGAGGCTTCTTTCACGCGCCTGTGACCAGGCCGAACAGCGTGGTGTCAAGTCCTCGAAATAATCGACCTGTTGAGGTCGAACAGAATGCTCGATCGCCTACCTGGTCGATGAATAGTTTGGTCGACAGCTTTGCTTGGTCGACTGAGTGACTGCTCGATTCCCTCGACTTCTTCAGAATATGACCTCCTCAACCGGTCCATAGACCGGTTCAGCCTATTGGGTATAATATCCCATATCAATATGTAAATCGTACAAGTAACAAATGTATGCTAAAATATATAATAATATATATTTTTTGTAAAAAACTAAATTTCTCATTAATTTTAAAATAATTTTTTAACAAGCACCCGTGTAATACACATGTGTTGTACTAGTGGGTTATTAATTATTATGTGATAAATTTTCCAATTAACCTCTAATCAATTTTTGTAATTAATAATTTAATTCAAATTTAATTCAATCTAACTATCATCTATATTATTAATATAATTAGATAATACAAATCAATCATACTTATACATACATATATTCTAATCTCAAGTAATTTTAACTATTCATGCAATCACAACTCACTCACTTTTATCTCAAATCAATTTTAATTATTTCACTTAAAATATTATTTTAATACAAACTTAAAATATCACTCGAATCAAATTCAACTGTTAAAACAAAAATATCAAATCACAAACTTATATCCAAGCACGCCCATATACTCCTAACGAGTATGATTCAGACGTGATTTGAAACGATTACATATTTTAAAATGAAAAAAAAAATATTAAATTAAATGTATTAAAATTCTTAAAATTTGAGTGGAAGAATTCCTAATTATTAATAAACCCATAAGCGTGACATGGATTTGACGAGCAAGATATTAAAAAAACTAAAAGCATTGTGATTTGTGAAGATGAAAAATGTTACATAATAAATGTACATAAATGTGTACATAACACTTACATAGAGTGAGGTTCACTTGAATTTTTATGTTTGGTCGGTCCCACTTAATGTGAGTGTTATGTATTAAGTGGAGTGTTATGTATATCCCTACGTACAATACTCGGTACCTATAGTATTTATATTGAGTATATCTTTTGAGACGGAACTAGAGCTGCACACGAACCGAGCGTCTCGCGAGCGCTCAAGTCAAAGCTCGGCTCGAGCTCGAGTTTGAGCGAACTTGAGTTGAGCTCGAGCGGCTCGAGCACGAGTTCAGACCTAAATTTTGCATTGTCGAGCGGTTTGCGAGTGACTCGAGATATATGTTAAATTATTAATATATCCATGTATATATAAACCATAATATTAATATGTACTTAATGGTAATTTTACAAAATTATTTAAATTTTTTTGGATGAACTCGACGAGCTCGAGCATTTTAAATTCGAGCCAGACTCAACCTATTATATTTTTTTATCGAGTCGAACTCGAGCTCCAGCAGCTAAAAAAAAAATCAATCATACTTGATAAGATCAATGCTCGACTCGGCTCGACTCGTTTGCAACCTTAGACGGAACTACAGTTAAACACAATTTATTAAAAAAAAATATTTTTCATCTAATCTAATATTTGTTCTTTGTAATCTCCTTGTATAAAATTGCATAATCTGAGCCTAAGTGGCATGATCTTGAATCCTACGTGACAATTTTTCATGCTTTGTCATCTGGCTTGGATGAATTTTAATTTATTATCAATTCAAAAATAATTAAGTTTGGATAACCCATAAATATACTAGATATTTATAGACATTTTTTAGAGCATTAATACTACATTTTCTATTTTAGACGTGATTTATAAGACATAATTTTTTTTTACTCAATCATTCTTTTTTTTTTCCTCATCTCTCTCTTCTAAAGATACGAAAAAATTACTAACTTAAATTATAATTAGATTCAAAAAGTAAACTTTTTTTATTGACTATTACCTTTTCATACATGATTAACATATCAAATTAATGATAAGATTTGATTTAACATCTATATTGTACATACAAAATAATTAAATAATTATTTTTATCTTGACCAAAAAATTGTTAAATGATATAATTTGGAAAAAAACGTTATTATAATATGAAATAGTAAGCCGTATAAATTATGTTGTTTTAAAATTTAAATAGTAATATAATTGATCAAAAAAGTATTTAAAAATTAAAACACTTTATTATTATTAATTTTAATATTAAATATAAGCCATGTTTTGTGACCCGGACCGGCCCGGCGGGTTGACCCGGGACCCGGTCGACCCGGAGCCGGAACCGGTCCGGGTGGGTAAATTAGACCGGCAACAACGGACCCGGCCAAACCCGGTCAAAACCCGGTCGACCCGGCATTGACCCGGCCGACCCGGGGCATTGACCCGACTGGGTCAACCCGGTTGACCCGGTCTGTATATATTTTTTTATTTTTTTTTGTTTTTTAATTTTCTTTTTCTTTTTAAAAAATAAAATTAAGTATATATATTTGTATGATAAATATATACATATTATTACAACTTTAATTTACAAATTTTACATACAAAATATTTAAATTTGTTATTTTTATGTATATTTATATATCACAAAATACTCTATATATAATTTTATAAATTTTAAAATTAATTATCCGGTTCAGCAATTGACCCGGTGACCCGGCGGTTGAACCGGTGACCCGGTGACCCAAAGACCTGCCCGGGTCGATTACCGGGCCGGGTTTGAAAACTATGAATATAAGTTCTTAATAAATTCGTAATTACAAAAAGAGTACCCAAACTCGAAAGCAAAACGCGGAAAACACAAACGACAAAACATCAATAGACTAACCTCCTTCCCATTTCCTTCTCTACGGCCTTTTCTTGTTCGCCATTTTTTCTCCGCTCTGCAAATTCCAGCTCGATCCGTTGTGTAATTGAAAATCAAGAAATAGGTGATTTTTTATTATTTTTTTTGTGGGTTTTTGGATTTTTTTTTTTTTTTTTTTTAAATATGCGGGTGAATAGTTTGTGTGGAAGCTCAAATTTGTGCCTTATTTTCTGAAATGTTTGTGTTCTCTTACGTTTGATTTTTCGTTTGAAGATTTTGTCGAGGACGTTTCGTTCAATGGGCAGGTGTTAAAAATCAAGACTTTGCAAATATGCAAGAAAATATCATTTATTTAGATTGTTGATTTGAGTTTTAATTGATATCAAGGGATCATAAAAACGGGAATTTCTCATTTGAATAGATCATAATTGGTGTTCTGTGTTTAGGAATTCTTGTGGGTTTTGACTCAGAAGTTGCTCGAGCTGCTTTGGGTGGTGTTAGGGAAAAAAAGAAGAAAGAAGAACGAAGTTCTGTAAATGGGTGAGCATTTGGTGAATGTTAACGAGCTGCCTAAGCCCGAATCAGTCGGACCTAGCCAGCCGGTCCTGCAGGCTGTGGATTGTGGGCCCTCGGGTAAAAAGCCCGAAATTGTGGGTCCCTCGTCATCGGCTAGAGATGATAAGGTTGTGGTGGAGCTCGATGATGAGTTGGACGATGAGCAAACGCTGCTAATAGGTATAGGCGAATGCCGAATTTGCCAGGAAGAGGATTCTATCCATAATTTAGAGAGCCCTTGTGCTTGCTGTGGGAGCCTTAAGGTAAAAATAAAAAAAATAAAAAATTGAAAAAAAGGATAGACATTTAGTTGATAGACATTTAGTTCATTTCATTTTTTGTTAGTTGACGGATGATGTATGAGAATTTTATTGATGTGTAATGATATTCTTGTTGATATATGGGTTGTTATGATGAGTAGTTTGAATGCTGAGTGTAGATTTCCTATATAGTTGAAATGGTGTTGAACTACCGATTTTTTTTTTGTTATGTAAGGTTTCTGATTTTGAAGTATCGTGTATGTGTTAGAGAGATTGAACATGAATTTTTGTGATTCCAAATCCGAATGCGTGAGTCGAGTCCCTAGGTTTTGATCATCAGATTGAGTCGAAGTAATTATTAAACAATGCAGCTCAGTGCATAATTTTAAAAAATTGTCAGAATTTCCTTAATTTCACAAGCTTTAAATGAAAATAAATACGAGGTTACTAAAACTTTTTCTTATCCCCCATATTCAGGTCTAGTTTTTTGGTGGTGAAGTATTTTCTTCATCTTTTAATTAAAGCTTATTTGTTTTCTCGCTGTGAGTTAGAACTATTTTTACGGTGTGAAAACGTGTTTTTGCAGTATGCGCACAGAAAATGCGTTCAGCATTGGTGCAACGAAAAGGGAGACATTACCTGTGAGATCTGCCATCAGGTTATTCACTTCAGTTTATAATTGCATTTGTATTTTCAGCACATAAGATCGAGCTGTAAGTTGATATTATCATTGTTATTAACATAAATCTTTATGCTCTCTGAATAAAGATATATACTAAAGTCAGTAAAATGACTCGATATTCTTCGATTCTAATGTGCAGCCGTATCAGCCAGATTACACTGCGCCTCCTCGACCTCAATCTGACGAGACTAGAATTGATATTGGGTTCGTATTCGTTTTTTTTCTTTTTGAATATAAATAGTGTTTTAATATTTATTGTGTTGTTTATTTTATTGTTCTTTATCTGGGCTTCAGGGGATTATGGCCTATCGCAGGGGGAACAGTCCATTTGCACGATCCTCGACTTGTGGCTCTTGCTGAGGCTGAACGTCAGCTATTTGAAGGCGATTATGATGAATTTAACGGTAGCACAAATGGAACTGCCTTTTGCCGTTCGGCTGCTCTTATTGTAAGCCCTCCTCCCATTTCATTACATTTGAAAATACTCTTGGACAAAAATATATAGTGAGTTTTTCGAATTAATAGGATTGTGTAATATTATTAAAAAAATGCATTATATGTATTGAACATGCAGTTGATGGCTCTTTTGCTATTGAGACATGCACTTTCGGTCACTGGTGATGGAGATGAAAATGATGACGATGCATCAACTTTCTTTTCGGTGAGTCGATTAAAACATTTTTTTTTTTTTTTTTTTTTTTTTTTTTTTTTGCTGTGAGTTCTCTAAAATGTGAAAAATGTGAAAAATGCAGCTGTTCTTGCTACGAGCCGTTGGTTTTCTTTTGCCTTGCTACATTATGATCTGGGCCATCAATATCTTGCAACGTCGTAGGCAAAGACAGGTAAAAATAAAACATTATTTTACTGCTGTAAAAAGAAATAAAAAAGGAAAAGCAAAACTAATCAAGAACTTCTTTTGAAGAGCATATATACATTCTTGAATTTTGAATGGACCTTTTGACAATTTTCTTTCATCTAAAACGGAACAGGAAGCAGCAGCTCTAGCGGCAGCCCGATTGGCAATTCTGGTCCGGGCGGCCCAAAGCCGTGGGGGCCTCCTTGTGGCCTCAGCCCAAAGCCCGGTTAGCAATTCTAGTCCATAATTTGTGCTGAATAGCACAATTGAGTATCCGAGTTATTACTTAATACAATTGAGTCCATTTTCTTGCTTTCTACTACATGTATGTATATATATAAATGTTGGCTGTTTATGTAATGAGTCTTGCTCAATCGACAACGACTTGAATCGAACAAAAAAAGTATCGAAAAACAGAATGGAAAAAAAAAAAAAAAAAGTCGGAAGGGAAGTCGAACAACTGTGTAATTAAGTGTAATCGTTTGAATATTTACTCAAGTGTGAGATGAGTAAGTAATCATATAGTTGGAATTATCTATTGTTGTATTTTTGCAACTGTAATCTATATATTGAAGCTAAGCCATACCTTTTGAACTGTGTTATTAGAGCTGAGATATGGTGACATTCATTCTATTTGCACAGTGTGTGTTTTGTGTGTGTGTGTGTGTGTGTTTTTTCAGTTGTCTTTAGAATTAACTTTTGTTTAGCATAATTTTATGTTAAATTTGTACGTTTAGATAAAGGATTAGGAAAAGAATGATTCGAATATTGTGCGATATTTCTCGTATTTGTTCAATGGAGCAGACTTGTTAGATTTAGAGCAGCGTTGTAAACGAAGCGAGCCGAAATTAACATTTTTGTTAATACATGTTTTTTGTTATAACTAACTTTCTGTCATTTTTATATTTTTATCATGTTCTCTATATATAATTTGAAACTTCTGTACTTAATTTTTACATGTTTATTTTCTTATTTGATTATTAGTGAAAGCATTAATTAAATTAGTTTGATATATTATTTATATTATAATAATATATTTAATAAAATCGGTAAAATAGGTGGTAAAATCGATTGAACCGGCCAATTGTCATTGTATTAAAGCACTGCTTTATATTAATAAAATCATGCAATTCGGGTGTATACACTGCTCACCAGCTTGTACCTTAAGGTAAACAAGTACTAGTGAGCTAAAAAAATTTAATCTTGTGACTAAAAAGAAATAAACCAATTAAAAAAAAAAAAAAAAAAATCTGGCCACGCCCATATACGTCCATAGAACATTTGTGGTTCTCATTTGTGTAGGTCTATTAATGGTTTTTCAAGCACACGAAGCATGCATCTCGAGAAACTTAACGGAGCCCGGTCTCAAACGGGGTGGGGCCCATGAACCGGTATTGACGGGAGACATTCATCGGGAGCTATTCGATTCAAACCAAGCAAGCAAAAGGCACGCCAAACGAGGATCAAATCCAATCCATAATCGAAGTTGATCACCTGTCGAGCTAAATAGTCCGTAGAAAAAAAAAAAATTATCCTTTTGTCGCTAAACAATCTTAATTTCGAGCTCAGATTTTAACGAGTTGAGTTATAGAAAATTAAATAAAAAAAGAAATTATTTTTAAATTAAACTAGCCCAAGCTAAGATGACACAAACGGGAAAAATACATAACTAACCCAGTTATTAAAAAGAATTTCATAAAAATGCTTAAATATATAGAATTTTAAAAATACTCCAACAAAGAGTCAAAAATACTCCAACAAGAAGTTACAGTAATTCAAAATTCTAACTGTCCTCTTTCTTTCTCTTCCTTCTCACCCCACACTTCTCGTTAATGTTTTTTTTTCTCTCTTCTGCACTTATCTTCTTCTTCTTCTTCTTCAATTCTTCTTCTTCTTCTTTCCCAACCATGAATGCCTAAAGAAATTAAAAAAAAAAAATTAATCAAATGGTTATGTACATAATAATTAAATCAGATTAAAAGAAAAAACAAAACTTCAAAAACAAAGAAAAGTTAAACATAAGACCGATTCATTCAGAAAACATTGCCACACTAATTAATCACTCTTGGTAAGTTCCTGTAGTTTTCCCTTTGACATCAAAACATAAAGAAAAACATCTTTCAAGAAGAAATAATTTTTTTTAAAAAAGAAAAGAATAAAATAAAAAATAGATACATCAAATTTGGTGGATAGTTGTATGATAATTTGTCAGATCTTGGCATTGTAAGGAAGAGCAAAATACACATAAAAAATAATAATAACAAATAAAAAATTATAATAATTAAAGTGCCCAAACAAGTTGGTAGATACAAATCAGTAAAAAACAACTCATTTTATTAATATATAAAAAAATTAACAATATAACATTTTCAAGCAACATAAAAATAACCTAAAAACAACACAAAAATAGCGTAAAAACAACATAAAAACAGGGCCCACAAACTCGGTAACCTGCTCATTGGCAAAAATTCATCACCGGCGCAACTATTGAGCACATAGAAATTGGGGCAATTGGGTTGAAAATGGGTGCGCTGTGAAATCCGACTCATGGCCACGAGCGGTGGGCTTCAACGGAGCTTTAATCTGGCAATGAAGGTTTATAAAGGACCAAACAAAAAAAATAATCAACAGGAATTAAAAAAAAAAAATCAATAGCGGATCGTTTGAGTTTTATCATCGAGAAAAAAAAAAAAAGGAGAGACAGAGAGAAAAAAAGGAGAAAAAACAAAAATGGAGAAATATTATTGTGCAAAGTAAGAAGAAGAAGAAGAAGAAGAAGAAGAAGAAAGAAGAAGGAAAGAAAAAGATACAGGCGGAGAAATCGAGGGAAGAAAATGGAGAGAGAAGAATATAAGAGATAAATATGGGACGGTTAAAATAAAATAAATTCAATATAAAAAAATTAAATAGAAATATTAGATGGAGTAAAATTGAAAACTAAAAGCCCCAATTTGTCTTAATAGCACACAGAAGCATTAATGTAAAATAGTTATTCTTAAGGAGTAAGGAATGTCTTTATTTCCACACAAACTCACAAACATTTTGTTTAAAAGGTCGAATTTGTGCCCAATTATACTTATTGGGCTCGTCTTGAAAGTTGAAACTAGTCCATTATCTCACTAAACACAGCCCAATATAACCTCCACAAAGCATAGCCGTCGATCTAAACAGATATTACGAAAGATTATCTCCACCGTCCAATCTAGGGCAACAACAAGAACGAAATCCCCCACTTATATATTCTCTTTCATCCCCTCTGATAATCTCCTTCGCCTCCAGACCAAAAACCCAATCCCCGGAAAAAGAAGTGAAGAAAATGGTGCAGAGGCTAACATACAGGAAGCGGCATAGCTATGCCACGAAATCTAACCAGCACCGGGTCGTCAAAACCCCCGGTAAGCAAAATTTTTCATTTTTATTTGTGCTGAATTGTGTTGTTTTTGCGTTTTTTTTTTTGGGTTTGCTTGTTGTTTTGTTCAGTTAACGTTGTGAGATTTGGGTTTTTGGTGTTTAATGTTCTTGCTTCGGATTAGCTGATTTTGTGTGTGTGTGTGTGTGTGTGGTGTGTGGAGCATAGGTGGGAAGCTGGTGTATCAGACCACTAAGAAGAGGGCCAGTGGTCCCAAGTGTCCTGTGACTGGCAAGAGGATCCAAGGGGTATGTAAGCTTAATCTCTAATGTGTTTATCAAATGCTTTCGATTAAGGTGTAACAATTTGATGTGCTTCAGATTAGATTGGTTTTGCATGATTTGCTTTGTTAGGATATGTAATGTCTGAATCAATGGAGGTGTCTTTGCGTTTGCTTTATGCTTGGGATATTTAATTTTGATTGGCTAAACTGGCCCAGCTTTGTGGATTAGGATGTTATATGGGTAGTTAGTGTGCTTGATTTTGTATGTTTTATGTTCTGCATTAGCATTTTGTGGATCTGCTTTTTTCAATATTGACATTGTTTTTCTGCCTTAAAGATCATGTTTGGTTGGAATTTTTTACCTTGATAAGTAAAGCCTTGATTATTCAAGACTATTTTGGTTTTACTTGGATTCTTGTAATGGTTTGTGTCTGAATTAGTGGGGTGGATAATGTGCTTGCTATAGTGACTCTTAATTTGTGGGCAGTACCTTCAGTTGATGGATTGTTATCAGTAGTGGTTAAATATATGCTTTGTTGGACAAATAGTGAATGCACTTTCTGTATTTTATTAGTATTCTTAGAGTGACGATTCGGAAAATTGAAATGTTGTACCACATCAAGTGTCGTTTAAAATCTTTGTTGTTCTTGTGGACAGTAGAATCTTGTTATGGGTATGATCTTGTGCAACCAAATCAAATGTCATTTTTCAATTCTTTTTCTTTTTGAAGTTTTTTGGCCATGTCCCATAGATTTGGTAAATTCCCATGGCATTTGAGTTCATTCTGTTGAATTTGGCTTGTTTTTCAGATTCCTCATTTGAGACCTGCTGAGTATAAAAGATCGAGGTTGCCTAGAAACCGTAGGACTGTGAATCGTCCTTATGGCGGAGTGTTGTCTGGTGTTGCTGTGAGAGAGAGGTTTGTTTGTTTGTTTTCGTGCTTAAATGACGACAATTAACTTTTAGAAACGTGTTTTTTCTTTTTTTTCTACAATGTGTTGGTTTGGTTGAGTTTTTGAAAGATTGAATCTTTCTCGGTTTTAAAAGGATTATTAGAGCTTTCTTGGTGGAGGAACAGAAGATTGTGAAGAAGGTATTGAAGATTCAGAAAGCAAAGGAAAAACTTGCTTCCAAAAGCAGTTAGAATGTGAGTGGGTACGATTATGGAACTGTATCGAAGTTTTTGGAGCATTTTATCTGTATTTTCGTTGGGATTTTTTGGAACATGACATTTATTTTCTTCACTTTGTCGAGCAATCATCTTATCTAGGATTTTGTTTGGATTCTCAGCCACCTGATGTCCCTTTGAATTCTGTTTGGATTTTGTCGTGATGTGGTTTAAAGTTTTGATTTCGTTAAAATCTCAAGTCGTAGTTTATAACATTTTGTTTGATTAGAAATCTAAGGATTCTAATCTGAAATTGCTTTCCCCTGTTTTTCAATATCATGAGCAAATGTGGATGGCTGCATTTGACTTTAAGTATTGCTTGGCTTGTTTTTTTTATAGGTGCTTGAGCTCAATGAGCTCAACTTGTTAAGGATCAACACGACGCTTAAAATGTTGTACAAATGTTTGAGATTGATCTGAATTTTATTAGGTCGAGATTGGTTGAATTTAATGAGTTTTGCTTCGTTTTAAATCAATTTTAACCTGATTGTGCACAGTTATTTACAAAAATTAATGGTATATTTATTATACACAGAGATTGATTTGAATTTTATTAGCTCCAGATTTGTTGAATTTATGTAGAATTTTGATTTATTTTAAATCAATTTTAAGCTGAATAATTAAATACATGCTGATAGCCTGATAGTTTGCTCGCGAATTATTAAATGAATCCAGAAAAAAATCTCGAATAAACTTACACGACTGTCTATTTTAAAGGTCACGCAAGACGAAAAGATTATGTTTCTCTAGATCTTAAAAGAGGGAAAATGCTACGGTCTTGTTATGGACCGTTCTGTCGGGATTTGTAACCGTTATTGATAGTTGATCTAATAGTTACGAATCCCGATGGAATGATTCCGTAATAGGATCGTAGAATCTCCCCTTATAGATTAAATGTAAAGAAACAACTTGAAAGTTAGTCTTCATGAAGCGAATTATAAAGGAAAGAAATTGCACCAAGTACTTAAAGAGTCGACTTAAGTTAAAGTCCTAGGTCACGTTCTAATCTTTACAACACCAACTACTCACATCTTACCAGAAAACAAAATGCAACAACACCTAAATTAACAACACCAATAAAAACATCTAAAGGATACTACAAAACTTAGAACATTGGACTAAAACTTATCTGTCATATGATATTCCCACCAATCAAGTGTAGCAATTGTTTGCCGAATAACTAGTCGACAAGTCGCTCGGACAAGGAGATGCGTAATCCCACACCAAACCCGACTTCAATCCATTTTCGGACATCAACGATGGCAAATTGCAAGAATACTCCATTGATGAACTCATCATCATCATCATCCCACACGCATCGACATCACCTAATTCGTGCCTCGAGACATTAATCTGGTCTGTGACTAAAACCCCATCTTCTTGCACGTTCGCATGGGCCGAAAACTCATTAAATTGTGTTGTAAATTCCATATTGCCATTATTTTCTGAACCCTTCACATATCCACCGAGGAAAGAACTTGACATGTCTCGTGACAAGAAAGACGTGTCTTGGAAAGTACACTTTTGACCCTGCTCGGGTAATTCATGCACGAGTAAGGTCCCGTTTGGTTTGTGAATATCATTTTCCAATATTGGAGGAATTAGGGCAGGTTTGCAGGGTGGAAGCTCATGTAGTGGAGGGAAACTCATGACGGGCGATATTTGCTCGATCATGTTGTAAGAACCAAATTGGAGGTTTGGATTTTGTTTGTTCGGCATTGAGGTTGTTAGGTTCTTCGCAATCGAATCGAAGTTGTTGAGTACTACATGTGGAGAAGGGTTTATAATTGTGTGGTGGTCATATGATGTTGTTTTGTCGAAGACAGGCGAAGAAGCCCAAGAATGAGATATGGCTCTTTGTGTGCTCGAGCTTGCTTTCTTGAAAATCCTACATATTGCCCATGCTTCCTGAAGAAGTCGCAAAATAAATAAATAAATAAAGATAAATGAATATGAACATATCTCAAGTCGATCTTCTCGTAAGCTTTCTTAGTTAGCTTTTAAAAGATGTCTGTTGAAAATTTATTTCAGTTGACTTATCAGCTAATTTTACGGAACACTTTATAATATCAGCTAGCTACCTTTTCGACCATCAACCATAAACTCAAAATTCACAAGTTAGTTTTTCAGCACGATTTACCAAACATATCTGAAGGCTTTAGGGTTTATGGGAGCTTACATTGGGAGGAATGCTTTTGTCCGAATATTTCTTAGTCATAATTGGGTCGGAAAATGAGGGTAACCTAAACTCGTGCATCATCCAATCGGTCTTAACCCCCTTTGCAGCCCTACCCTTGTAGAAAACAAGAGATTTCTTCAAGCCGATGCATTTCGAGCCTTCGGATGAGTAAATAGGCCGATCGGTACCGGTCGCTTTCCAGAAGCCAGCTCCCGTTACACGGTTGGGCCGGTTACTGTTTCGGTATTTTCTATCTCTAGGGCAGTAAAAGTACCACTCCTTTTCTCCAGTAGTTGCCAACTCTAATGGAAAAAAGAGAGAGAGAGAGAGAGAGAGAGAGAGAGAGAGAGAGAGAGAGAGAGAGAGAGAGAGAGAGAGAGAGAGAGAGAGTTTGCACATATAAGTTAGTTTAATGTTATGCACAATATTGAAATCACATAAAAATCTATACACTACAAAAAAACTCTTACATTTCAACGGAAATTTTCCGTTGGAATTTTTAATATTTCCGTTGGAATAGCTATTCTAACGGATATTCCTACGTATAAAAATTCGTTGGAAAAACGGCCGTTGGAATAGCAATTATCCAAAGGAAAATCCTATGGAAATAAATTCCTACAGCTATTCCAACGGAAAAAATCCGTTGGAATTTCTCAATTATCCAACACTTATTCCAACATAAAATTAAGTTTGTTAGAATATTCATTGGAATTTCCACGAAATTTTTGCCGTTGGATTTTTTCGTTGGAATTGTAGTGTTATTTTGTAGTGATATAAATGATGAAATGCCACAACAAATATGTAAATAAGAATGAAAAATTACTAAAAGTATGCCACAAATTATTTATATATAATTTGTTGAAAGCAAAAGAGAACTAAATAAAAAAATAAATAGTGAGAATTAAATAAAATAATTTCATTTTCATCTTAAACCCTAAGAATGCACCATATACATCTCGTACAAGAAACAAAATGACACCAAAAAGTATATAAAAACATGCATACTAAATTATTTTTCTTCAAGCTAAAAAAGGGAAACCTTTTAGACGATAAGCAAAAAAAGATTCGACTTTTTCACTAACTTGGAAGGTCCCACGGATCGTATTTGTAGATATCGAGCTGCTTGATGAGCTCGATGGAGAGTGGCTTTTGCGTAATTTTTCTCTTCAGATAAAACCCTACTAACTCCTCGTCTGTCGGATGGAATCTGAAACCGGGCAGCACAAATTCGTCGGTTCTCTCATTTTCGACATTTCTCTCGTGATCCATCATCTCCATTCAAACCCTAAAGAAGAGGAAAAAAAAGTATTTTCTTGAAATTATATAGTTACGTTAAGAAACAATTATGAGTGAGTTAGAAGCATGCAAATTTAACTTATTAATAAGTAGATAGACACGAAAGATGAGTGATAGCCAAGTTTTGGTTTTTCTAACACGAGTTCACTTAAATTCATATGAAGCCATATCTATGGCAATCGGCCCGAGGAAAGTGTCTGGGCCCGAAGGTTCAGCCGCCTTTTATGGTGGACTTTAAGAAGCTTGTTTTAAGTTTTTAACAAGAAAAGAAAATGAAAACGCGTTAATAGGGATAATTATTTAATTATAAGATTAATTAGGGTTAAGCCATCAAGAACGACTACCAAGAAAACCCTCCAAAGAAATATTATACTATAATTTTTTTAGGTGGTCTAATCGTTAGTCAGAGCGATTCGACATACTATTTTTTTTGTTTTTGAATAAAGATACATTCTTATACTATAAAATCATCGCATACTTTTGACAATGTTGTTTTTTAAGAGTACGACTTTTTTTTTAGTAGCCAGCCAGGGTATCCGGAGCTATGCCCCAACATTTTCATTGGTCGACCCGGGTCGCACACCTGGCAGTGGTGGGTAAGTCTCTCAACAAGGGTTTTCTGCATCCACAATGACTCGAACCCGAGACTTTGCTTAAGCGACATCAAGCTGCTTACCACTTGAGCCAAGGTTAAGAGTACGATCTTTTAATTTAAAGCTATATATATTTGTTGAATAAATATGATTAATCAGTTAACTGTTACAACTAAAAGTAGCTTATTAAAATTATATATATTGTTGATGTCATAGTTATGAGTCATATTGTAAGAAACGGGGAAAATGGGTGCGGTCCCATGCAGATGAAGCGCACCATAATAGGAAACTTTAGATGAAGTCCAATAATGTTCCATTTCAAAACCAATTGGTCAAGGAAGGAGTAGTCCACTAGACTTATAAATTAGGCATATTTTTCCCTATATAAACGATATGGGACAAGTCACAAGTGAATATTTTAATACGCCAACTCACTTGTGAGTCCCTCATAAGAAGTTCAATCCCATATACCGGAGACGGGTGCCCCAGTCTAAATGAGCTGAGAAATAGGTACGTCGTCGCACGTCCAATAGAACCGACTATGATACCATGTAAGAAACAGGGAAAAACGGGTGCGGTTCCACGCAAATGAATCCCACCATGACAGGGGAAGCCAGATGAAACCCAAGTGAGGCTCCATCCCAAAATCAATTGGTCAAAAGAGGAGTAACCCATTAGACATATAAATTAGACATATTTCCTCTATATAAATGATGTGAGACAATTTATAAGTGAATATTCTGATACATATTTATATATTGCAAATGTTTATATTATGCAATTAATTATCACATTTTTATTTATATTGTTATTTAGCTTATGTACCTTTCAATTTTAAAGTATTGTTTGAAATTAAGTAAAACTATCTAATAGCGTGTGTGTATATATATATATTAGGGCTTAGTTATGTGGTGTTTGACTCATTAGCCAAATCTCGTGTAAGGGTCAAATTAATTGAGGCTTCTCAAGGTTAATTAGTCTCGTCAGCTCTCATTGAGATTAGGATGCAATAATAATATATTCATAAGCTCCTATAATTAATAATTTTAAGTACTTAATGTTATTAATTGTCTTTCAATTAATAATTATATTAAGTACTTCATGTTATTAATTATCTTTCAATTAATAATTATATTAAGTACGCCATGTTATTAATTACTTCTTTCAAGTGAAGACAAATCAGAGCTTCATGAAAATGCATGCTATTTAATTTTGTACATCGTGTGGTGTTTGAAATGTTACTTGGAGATTAGTAAATAAATTCAATTCCCAATGCAAAATCACAAACTTGTATTAAAGTCTAACCATACACTAAAATTAATTTAATATATTATTAATATAAATTTGTGTATATGTATTGTTTAATGGAGTCAGTTGTCTCAGGATCCGAAAATACTACTTCTATTCCATTCTTATAAAGCTTCTATTCCACTGACTTGTCAGATTTAAATTATAATATGATTTTATTTTAGCTATATATATGGTTAGGACTTAGGAGTAAATATTAATAAAATAAAATATGTTCTTGGTCAAATTCTTACCATAAATACAAATATATAACCATAAATACATATATATAATTTATGCGAATGCTAAGGTATCGTTACGAAACCGTTCCGTCGAAATTTGTAACCGTTACTCCGTTAGATTATCATTTAACCGTGAGAGATAGTTGATTTAACGGTCACAAACTCGGACGTAATGATTCCGTGATACCTACAATTTATTCTTTAGCACTGAAGCTAGCCATATGTCCTCTCATAGTTGGTTGAATTTTTCATATGTTTACCAATTAAATTGTAACGAATATTTAAATTTGTGTTTGTTTTTATTTCAAATTAAGACTACTTTTATCATAATTTTCTTTTATATTTATCTCAAACTGTGCAAAGAATCTATGTTTATATTATTAATTAGTGTTAAATTAAAATAACAATAAACACTTTTTTCAGTAAGTGTCTAATTATTGTACTGGATTGCTTATGAGAGTACATGTTTTTTATTATGAGAATTTTATTTTATTTTAATTTTTTTTTTTGGTACAATTGTTTTTTGTTTTTTAAAATGTCCACACACTTTCTGGCTGAATTAATTCCAATTTGTTTCAAACTTTAATTATGTACCCTTAATACTATTTATGTTACCTAAATATATATTCAAAAAATAAATACTAGGGTTGATTAATTGGCAAAAGTCAATTTATATACTACCTCCGTTTCCTATTAGATGTCGTTATGACTTTTTTAATTCATCTATTTTGCTATGTATCTAGACATAAAAATATGTTTAGATACATAACAAAATAGATGAATAAAAAAAGTCAAAACGACATTTAATACTCCCTCTTTTTTTAAATAAATGTCGTTTTGACTTTTTTAATTCATCCATTTTGCTATGTATCTAGACATATTGAATCAAAAAAGTCAAAACGACATTTATTTAAAAAAGGAGGGAGTAGTAAACGGAGGGAGTATATATCATGGATTTCCTCAAATTTTCTTGCTTCTTGAAAAAGTCATTCATTACCCAAATTGAACTTTCCTCAAAAACCATTTTGTTTTCAACAAAAAAAAGTGCTCAAAATTAAATGGTGAGAACTCAGTACCATTGAGTCAAAAATTAAGCTTGGGGGAACTTAAAAAAATTGTAGGCAAATTATCACAAAAACCAAAAATCCTCGTTTGTAGCCTTTCTTGTCGAGTAGTTTTGACCTTGGTATTTGTTTTCCAAACGTGCAATGTGAAAATATGTGTCCCTTGTTTAAGTTTGAGTTGCGTAGATATTTTTAATACAATACAATCTTATTGTATTATTACAATAGTGCAAAGTGTTGAGCAAGGTACATAATTCATTGTCGCATGTTTGGACGAAAATAGTGAACCAAGCTCGAAACTTAGATGAAAATAAAATTAACGAAAAATTTCGCGGAAAAAATAGAGTCATGGACCTCCAAACTAAAGCACAAAAGAAAAGAGAAAAAATGGAGATGATTTCCCAACTTAAAAGTTAGGAAAATGAGGTGGTTGTCTCGAAATACAAAGCACAATGTCTATTTATAGATACACCACAAACACACACAAAACACACACATTTACTAAAATTCATTAGTTCGGGGGTCTCGAAACCGGTTTCGCAGAGAGTGTGGGCATGGAGTAGTGCAGCTCGGCGCGTTTCGCGAATCGCGAAAGTAGTTACGCAGCGAGTTTGAGGATATCTGCCTCGGATAATGTTTCGCATGTTGCGAGTATGTTTTCGCTGCGAGTGTCGCGGTCTTCTCTCTTGCGCGATGTCCGTTTCGCGGGTCGCCATTGCGTTTTCGCACGCGTGCTCCGCCATTTCTCGTGCGCGCCATCTCGCGAGTCGCGGGAGTCTTCTCGCAACGAGTGCGACTATTGGCTGGGTGCGGGTCGCGAACATTCTCGCAGGTCGCCAATAATAGCTCGTGCGAATGCAGGGTCTCCTCTCTTGCGCGCACATCCGTCTCGTGGGTTGCAAAAGTCGTCTCGCAGCAAGTGGCTCGAGCGTGATGGGCTGCCTTTGGGCGTGCTTCACGGCTCGCGAGTGACTCGCTGCGAGTGCCGGGACTTTCCCAGGTCTGACTTGCACCTCGAAAATGGCTCGGGATGGCTAGTGGTCGGGATGGCTCAGATAAAGTTGGAACATGGCTCAGAAATGTCTCGAAAATGGCTCATCATCCCGACTCGAACAATGTGGACATAATCAACACCAAAATACGCAAGAAAATACGACAAGATACAAAAACACATAACGAGAACGAAAACACATAAACCACGACAAAATGGACCGGTTGACACTAAAACGAATCTAAAACGACCCGACTAAAGCACATAAAACACAAGAAAACACCACAAAAACATAACAAACAACCAGTAACACTTATCAACAAAATTATTAAAAATAATACTATTTTTCATCTTAAATTAAATTAATGACTTATATTATTATACTTTTATAGCTTATCTTAATTCAATTATGAGTATCATTTATTAGTAATTATATTAAGGTATATCTACTTTGTAAGATTACTTCTATGTTGTAATTTCATATTTAATGTTAAACTCTTTTATTTAACTTGAATGTTTATTTTTTTCATTGTATAGAAATGTAGGTAATATTTTTGTTAAATATAAAATTTATTCTCAAATAACTTGGTCATATCCAATTGGAAGATTTATTTTTGGCAACAATTTTAAAAATATTATACTGAAGATGTGTTCCTGCTAGTACGAGGAATAAAATTGAAGTTCTTTTATATTTATATGTTTTATATATATAATTCGAATATGTATATATTCTATATATTTGGAAAAGATATGCAATACCTTATTAAGCTGTTCAATGTAGGATGTTGGACGTGCATGGACTTTG